ATAAAGTATAAGCTATGTTTGGCTAAATATAATTAAGATATATAATGCTAATATTTGGTTGAAAGATATTGCGAAGCGCCTTATTGGCTAATGGTTAAGTCTATTTTCTTCCTGCACTTTTTCGCACAAAATCAAAATATGCTTTAGCAAGATCACCCAAACTAGTCCTGCTAGAAATATTAGGCATATTTGATCGATCGTTCTAAAGATTTCTAATCTCAGGTGTACTTGTACTATGTTACTTGGTAGGTGAAATACAAGCTGGCTCAAAATTTGGAGCACTTGGCATAGTAATTTTTGCTACAGTTGCTTTAGATTGTGTATAATTTTTATAGCTAGCCGTAAAATTTTCATCACAATCATATGATAACAATGCCAATTTATCCTTTTCTAAGTGTGAGGTAGATTGGGAGAAAAGCTTTAGACGAAAACGATTAATTTTAGCCTCTTCTTGTAATATGTATTGTTTATATTGCCAGATCTGAAATTCCCTTTTATCAATAGTTTGGAGAATTTCATTTCTTCTTGCATGTTCATTCAAAATAGTATTTCCAGAAATACATCTTTTTAAGTGGCTATCATGACTGCGATGGTTGCTATAAATAGTTTCAGGTATGAAAACTAAGGAGTCACATACATTACAATATATATAATTTGTTCGATTAATGTGAACTTTATCATTTTTATAAAACTTTCTATACATTATAATATATCCATTCTTAGAAAGGATTCTTGAATCTCTTTAAGTATTTTTCTAAATGGATCACGGATACGAGAGCACCACATTTCTGGTGTTTCGTGATCACGTCTTTTTGTTAAAGGCAATATTGCATCAAGTATTCTTATATATTCTTCAGAGCCTCCATAAGTATTGTTTGCATCAATTAGCTTAGAATAGGTTCTACTATCTAAATCCATAATAGTGTTTTAGTAGATTATAACAGATTATAACGATTTTATAGTGTTTTTAGTGATTTTAGTGTTTTTAGCTGATTTAGCAATATTATACTATAATAAAACTATATTCATTTTTATCAGGTGAAAACAGATTCATACTTTTTTATATTTTTTTGATTCAGTTAAATTAAATCCGATCACCATAGATGGCTAAATTATAAATTTTGTATCACATGAGATCTCCCTAGTTCTTAGTCAGTTCCCAGCACTTCCTCGCAACCTTCTCGCAACTCAAATCACGAGATAAGTTACAGATCAGCATTGCATTGCCAATCAGATTTTGCGTACGCAGTAACTAAACCACCATTATTTATTATTCAATTAATCATCAATTCATTATTATATTTTTCAGCCTTAATATAATTACGACGCTAATTTTATTCACAGCTCAGTTGAATCATGTCACTTATAAGCAAGCCCTTCTTACTTATCCGCTATATCACTTCTCTGCTTCCCATAAAACATTTCTAAATCGTAAAAATGTCTTTAAAGTGAAATGAAGAAGAAACTCATTTTCTTATTGACGAACAAAAAAATGGTAATGAAGAATACCATCAGACCCTAAACGTAACAAGAGAATCTTCTGGGAAGAAATAGCAAATAAGCTTAACCAAATACATAATACGAACTATTTCACTGGAGAAGGCTGTAACAAGAAATTCCTAACCCTAACTCGGGCTTACTATGTAAGTAATATAATAATTGCGAACTAGTGATCCGAATCTGAACTGATCTGACTTTTTCTAATATAGTATATATAGACGACTAAGGTCTATAAGGAAGGAAGTAAAAAAAAGAGAAGCCTGGTCAGAGAATAATATTATGCCGAGTTTTCATCTGAATTTTGAAAAGATCCCGATAGCCTTTATTGTGATAAGATTCTTCACTTGAAAAGTTATACTAAAAAATGTTTATTGATTCTAGGAGCACCTCCCAGCGTAGTAACATCATCATCACCTAATACACCGAAAAGATCTCAACCATTGAGAATCCCAAGACTAAATTCACAAGTGCCTACTTCTGCTAATACTGCCAGAACCGCTTCAAAACCCTCTTGAGTAACTCCTTCACCTAATATATCTCATTCAACGACACCTGCTGTATCAAGACCATTCTCTAGACCAGTAACACCATCCTTTTCTCAAAACGCTGAAACTATTAATTTTTTTATTAATTTCATTGAGCCAGACGAGGAATAGGATGTTTTTTACTTTACTATTAGTAGAATACGAAAGTAAATGCAATAATAAATATCACTTGTAAAGCACAAAGCATGTTTTTAAAAATTTGAAATAAAAGATCAATCATTATTATGTTTTTGTAAAATAATATACAATAGGAAAGTACTAGCTGGCTAATAAATCAGTTTGAGGCATGACGTATATCATATCACATATATCACCCTAGATCCCTGCCAGTTCCTTCCTTCGATCATTTTAGAAACTATCCATAATAGACAAATCAGTTGCAACTTTACCTCATTAACTGAATGCATTGTTTTTACTAATAAATGATCACGTTTCATCCGCGACAGACCTGCACACTAGTGCAAGTAGCATAGCACAAAACTAATATATTATTACAAAATAAACATGTATATTTTTTTTAAAAATCAATCGAATTCTTTATTATATTTTTTCATGCATGAAGTAATACATGAGAAAGGACCGGCCGGCTATGTAAAAATGAAAGTAAAAAATAATAGAGTAGCAGGTTATTTCAAGAGAAGAATAAAGCATAAATGCCTGCCGAGCCCTAACCCATATATTGGCAGTTCCTTCCCCGCCACTCAGTATCGATGTAAATGAGTGTTATCTATCCAAGCACCTATCTTTTCTAAGTTTTTGCTATTTAAATTTTCTCCACGATAAAATCCCTTTATTGTATCTTTCCTAATTACTCCCATCCCAAGTCTACTAAGAATATCAACCGATACAATGCCACACATCTGATCTAAAGAATAATCATTCGCACCCTTAATCCTATTAAAGATGTCCGTAAATTATTCCCGGATTACAGAAATGATATTTGCAAATTTTTGGCTCAAGCCTGTAATCAAAAAATGTTATTCAAACCTCTAATACATAAAACATTGATTATCAAAAATTATTTTGTTTTTATCTTACCAGAAGAACCGTAAGAGCTTGAAGATGAATTAGTTGAAGAGCCTCGTGAATTAGTTTTAGATTCATTGGTCAAATTAGCTTCAGATTTATTAGATACACTTCGCTTGTCAAAATTGGATCTTTGAACTATTGCGTAATGTTGAATTATTTCATTTTGGAGATTTTTGATAACAACATTAATTCTGCTAAATTCATTACGGCAGGCTTCTTCGATATTATTAACTTTCGTAGTTATGTTATTGACCATTGAAAAATTTTCTGCACTTCAGAGGCATAGCCAGTATCACGTAAATTGATTTTAGCAATTTCTCTGGTAAGTTTCTTATTAAGTTCATTATTGTTTCTGATAAGCTCCGCAGTGAAAGTAGAATTATCTTCAAAAAGATGTGCGGAAAATTCGTTGGCGATTTTAGTACTAACTTCTGTGCTAAACTTTTTGTTCATTTCAATAAAGGTCTTTTCGATTT